GCCGAGTTAATTAAAATCCAGCATTAGAAGGAGGAGTCCATTTTAATGATAATGAATATCGCATGGATGCTGATTAAAAAGAATCGCAGATTCGCGATTTACGAGAAATAAACGCGGCTGCTTTTCTTAACCTTAAGAAGACTGGCATATTTTTGATCAACTTTTTTATTTTAAGGGATAGAACTTTTTTCAATGTCATGGGTTGAGTGGCAAAAAAGATGGCGCCACTGTCGACTCCCTAAAGGGCCCTACAGGTTAATGGTGAATCTCTTTCGACGAGAGAATGTTTTCCGAGAGAAAAGCGTGAAATTCACATTCTGGTACACACATTAAGAGTGGAAAAAGTTTATCATAAAAAATAAAAGATGTTTCCGAAAACTTTTTTATTTATTTATTGTAGACTATTTACAATTACTTATTGTATTTAATTTATTGTAGACTATTGTGCAAGTATGTTGTGAAATATATATTGTTTAAGAATCGAATTTATAGAATGTAAACTTAATACCATTAACATTAATTAGATAGAAAAATAATTCAATTATTAATTAAATGAGAAATAGCTAAAGAATTACGAAAGATTTTATTCAATTATTTATTGAGAAACGTTAGATTTGTAACAAAAATTTTGGACTATATTCTGTGCTGTTCTATTATTTACTCGATAAATTGTTCATAAGAATTATATTTATAGAATTGATTTAAATTTAAAATCATTTGCATACTAATAGAATAGAAAAATTTAATTATTAATTAGATGATTAGAAATCTGTTTAAATAATTGCAAATTGCGAATTTTGTTTAATTATTCATTGAGAAATGTTATGTTTGTGAAAAAATTTCTGGACTATGTTTTTTGTTGTTTCGATTACTCAATTAATCCTTTTCATAGTGAGTTTCCACTTACAATACTCCAGCGATAAACAGCGAATAATAATTGATAGAAATAACAGTATATCTTAAAACTCGACAATCGCAAATCGTTGGGTAACCGCAACTCGACGTCACAATTCATACTCATAACGCGGCTATCAATTAATTATTCGCGCACAATTCCATATCTAAAGATAAACCGTAGAAATTCATTGCGGCGCCAATAAAATGTTGCATTGTAAGAACGTTATCGGAAAATCGAATGCTTTTTTTGCGTATAGTAGTGCATATAGAGTCGTTGGGGAATACTTTGGTCGCAACTTCTGCACATTACACACACACACACACACACACAAAACTACGCATACACATTAATAGCAATCGGTATCGAGAAATCGCTCGTTGTATGGAAATATATTAGAAATTTTACGAGGGCGACTAGAAATATCGAGCACCTATAGACTGTGATATTTATTGTGGCCTATTATTGCTGCTTTCGCGCACCGGCAGTGTGGTAGTTACGAATTGTATAGGACGAAACACCTTCAGCCAAAGTATATCTGACATTTTTCATGCCGTTTAACATGGCGTTATTCTGCGGAGAGTTAAACACTTTATCATTTCTGTCAATGTAATTTTTTTCTTAGCTCTTCCTACCCTCTTCTTTCTTCAGAAGAAAATGCATATATGCATCGTTTGTTGATTCTTACGTATGTTTTTGTTGTTTCAACAATGAAATTTAATTCCGCAGAAATTGAAATTTAATTTGATAAAGTAAAATTTAATTTGACAAATTTGATTGAAACTTTATTACTCAAAATGTGTTTAATGGCAGAAATTAAATATTATGGGGAACGAATTTTTTTATATGTATATTTGAATTTGATAATTTATAATTACCTTTAAGATTTCTACTTAGTAATTAGGAGATTATTTAGCATTTGGTTTATAGTAAGCAATTAGAATAGTTTACTCCCTGTTTAAAAATTGGAAAGCTGATTTTTTCTATTAATTTTTTCACACTTTGTAAAATTCAACTTGCGTTCTATACGATTCGTTTTCGTTTAGGCTTCATCATGTCACTTCCGATGGATTCTCATCGAGGAAGTTGCGTTTCATCGACGCATAATAAATGGAAAGGCCATGTTCTTTAAGGCGACAGTGAATTAAACGCCGAATCGTAAATCGTTTCTCCACTCTGTATAGGAAAAGCGTATCCGGTGCCGTCAAGACGTTCGTTCATAAATCACGCCATGCGCACTTGTAGGAGCTTCTGAAATCGAGAAAAAAAAAAGAGAAATAAAGAAGGAAAAATCGCATCGTTGTGCGTTTGCTGATATCGACCATATATAAAAGATATATTCCACCAATGCATGTATTCATCTAAAGCAATGATGCAATTTTCCAAGCATTTAGTAGACATCTGCACAAAATACCGAAAATCCCACACGTTAGTAGTTTAAAAAATATCCTTATTGCGAGCATTTAATAATAAATCAATGCATATTTGATCTGTTGCAGCGTATAATTATAATTTGATCTCTCTGGTATATTCTTAGTAGAAATCTTTTTAAGTACTGCGTATGAAGAATGCTTGATTGTATTATTTATTAGTAGGACTTTTGGGAAAAGTCCTTAACGTAATAAGGATTTATGTATGATATGAAAACTATATATTTATTGTGGAAGAATAATAATATACGGAATTGTAATGTGAGAGAAAGCTTTTGTGTCTTCAGGACTATTGGGACAAACTTTAAGGGATGACAGATTTCTCCAAAAGAAGCATTTTTAAGGAGCTACGTGTTCAGTCGCGTGTGACGTCTGAATACTAATTCTTTGTTTTTTTTTCTATAAGCAAAAATATTGATTGTTATATGCAATGCTGTCGCGCAATCGATTCCGAACCTCACAATCGATCTAAACGGCTACATAAAGATATTTAACTCCTTAATCGAAAGACACAGGTTAAGAATGTATTTTACATGTACTTTTCAACAACATAAAGAAATTATAAATTTTTCTATATTGTATTTGAAAGCGATACAAAGTTTGGCAACAATTTAAAACAAAAATTATTTCACAAGCAAACATGTTTAAAAACAGTTAAGGTAAAACAAGAAAATTTTCATTTAAACTATAAGATTGTATTGTTAAATATAAATATTGACCTTGTTTTATATGCATTTCATATTTTCATATGAAAAATATAATTTTCCAATTTCAGTTATTTTTTTATAGAGATTATATATTTTTAACAAAAGTCGATTACTGCGCGGTGAAATCCATCATTCCGCAAAGTTTGTCCCAGAGTACCTGAAACACTGTATATCTGAAGACGTAAATATAGATTCCACGTAGAAAATTGATTCCATTTGTTTTTGGATGGCGTCAATTGCATTTCATAGTTCTTAACTCGAACACTATTTGTGTATTGATTAACTTGCGGTTATTCTTTCTAAATTGCCGTGTTCTATTATCGTTATCAATAGACCCCGGAATGGATAAAATTTTGTCGTGACGTCGACTCGATAACATCCGGCTAGTCGTGGCGCCGATCACATTTAATTTTGATAAAGAAGATTTATAAATATAGGATCGCGTACGTTGCCGATTGGTGCCGTTTCGCTGATAGTGGCGGCAGCGGCGGTGGCGCCGCCGGCTTTTATTTTTCCAGAAATACGAAATCCAATTCTCGATAAGACCGGCTTACGTAGAAATTGTCCCACTCCTCTCTTTTTTCATTCTCTTCCAGTCTATTCCTCATATCGCGATCGCAGCAACGCTATATCTCTCGCTAGCCGCGTTCGAGAATGTCATTTTAGAGAAGAGCGACGGTGGCTTTTTCACGAATATACGGGAATATTCTGACCAGCATATTTGATTCGTCTCACTTAACGCGGATCGTTTACGCGATTATGAGATGCGAAAGTATGTCATTTTTTCAAGCTAGACTAAATCTAGTATATTTTTGTGAGAATTGAATTTTCGCGAAACGACTGAATGTTTTGTATAATCTTTAATTTCTCTATAAAATTAAAATTGTCTTTTTACAATTATGGGATTATAGATTCTATCATACAGATCTGTGATTCAGGAAAAAGGGAAAAGTGGATTTTTGCGAAACGTTTAAAAAAAGAGAGATAAATTATAGTGAACAACGCACTTTGTTTGCGCACACGTATTACATACTAGCTGGAATTTACGTGAATGGACTTGACTGATATCAATATTGAGATATTTTAATTATTTCGATTACACACTACTGTTGACGAGTGTGCATACAGTCGCAGAAATATTTCGACGATATTACAAAACTTTTCCAGAATGCACTTCATTCCCCGGTGATGCAGCACGCATGCAACATTTTAATTAAAATGTTGGACAAACAGATGTTGATATAAATCAAACAGTCCAACGTAGTCGGTAACTGAAGTGAAATATATTCGAACATTTTCCACGTTTGCTTATACACAATAGCCGTGAATATAATAGTTAATAAATAATATGTATAATATATTTTCGTACAGTTAAATCCAAATATTCATAATATAAATTCTAGTTCGGTAGATAACAGTTACGATTATATTTTTAATTTGAACATGGGCACTAATTATATAAGCATACATATGTTTATTAGCCGTAGAAATCTATCGTTAAATTTCATTTAATTCACTTTATGAACAGAATGAAATAAAACTATTACTAACTGTTTATTATTTACAATAATATACAATAATATACAATTTTCTTGAGTGTTTGAAGATAATAAAAATAATTGTATTATCCTCAAACATTCAAGAAAATTACACATTATTGTGTAATAATAAATAGTTATTAATATTTCTATTTTATTCTGCTTATAAAGTGAATTGAATAAAATTTTACAATAGATTCGCATGATCAATGAACATATATGTATATACTTACGTAATTAATGTTCATGTTCATATTAAAGATACAATTGTAATTGTTATCTATACCAAACTAGAATTAATTGTATTATAATAATTATAAAAATAAAAAAAATGTATCATCGATTATATTTTATTGGAGATTGTATAAATCTATTATTAAATGCTTTCCGGTATTGCTTATATACTCGACGCTCATAATAATGTTTGCAGGATCTCATGACGAAGAACAAGCAGCGATATAAATGGCGTTTGCTGGCTTGCGGCATTGTCCTTATAATCGTGCTGGCTCTGGTGATCGCGGCGGCGATTCTTCTGACCGGCAGTCCGGATTCCACTGCGTCCAGAACGAACGGTGCAGCCGGTATTTCCTTGGAGGAATGGCTCTCGGGTTCGTTATCCCCCAAGAGCTTCAACGGCACGTGGATCAGCGGTAAGCACACTGCGCCTCTGTTCGTCCGCATGACGTAAATCCTTCTCGGTTCCGCATGCTTTCCGAGAAGAAATCGCTAAAGAGAAGAAAATGAGACTAAAGCTCTGTCAATTTTATTTCCCGCGAATCTGACTTTCGAAATGAGTTTTCCCTCTTTGTGACACCCATAAAGTGTAATCAAACACTGTTACCCAAACGGATTTAAAAGGCAAATAATGTGCGTGATTTAATATTATATACATTGGACATGGCGGATATAAAAAGGAAACTTATTTGACAGATGCTCTTATAAGTTGCGCGTTTATAAGTGGGACACATTTTCTACGTAAAATGAAGGGGGAGAGGCAGAGGAGGAGGGAGAGAGAGAGAGAGAATTTATATTGGAAAAGTGCATATTAAATGTCAAAATTGCAAAATAAAATTGTATCGAGAGTTATGAATTGCTTATTTTTTATATCTACAAAAACGACATGCATTAGTACATTTACAGATTACGATTCCGAAGTACGCGGAACATTTTTAACATCATCAATTTGACGATTTTAGCGTTGGTAATAATAAAAGAAATATTTCTCTGATTAATTCTCTCTTATACTTGATAATTGGAGAAAAAAGATTTACGAAGGGACTCTTCGAGTATGGGCTCTAAATTTGTGTAAAATTTAAACACGGCTTGTTTGATTTCTAATTAATGGATAATAGCTTCATGGCGTAAAAACACTGAATAAATGAGATTCGAACGACATTAAAACTCGTTTGATGATACGTTAATATCGCTCATTATTCACGTTCATGTCGCGAAAATTCGAGCGCAAATCTTTCTCCGAGCACCGCCTCGGTGGACGTTTTTTGTGCGCGTCGGTTTCGACATGCGTGTAATTTTCCGGTTTTGCCACGCGATAAAATTATCATATATCATAAATCTCGCGTGAGACAAAAGTCGCTCGGGTCTTTCCGCGGCAGCGGAACGTCAAATTATATCATGTCAAATTATATCACGAACGTATGTCGGGTCGTCGCGGATTTTCTCTTCTCCCCGCACTCCCACCACATGCATCCCCCGCTCGGCGAATTGTATTATGTAACATCAAAAGAGGATAATAAATGATTTACGCGACGCGTGGATCCGTAAAAGCGGATACAACCACGTCGACGAATATTTATATCGCCTCTTTTTCGCGCGCATGAATGACGCGCGGCGTCACCGAGGCATGAAGTTCAAACTAATTTTATATTTGAGGCTGCGTTGGCCATTCTACTTCATTCGCGGATCCATTTGTCTTTGTTACGGCACGACCGCCGACATCGCTGTCGGCCTATAAATCCTTTCGTCAGGTTGGGAACAAAAGACGGGTTTTAATGGATTTACGCGCGCGGCCAGTATCTTCCCACTATCGCTTAATTCTTTTTGCTCGAAAACGTCACGGACCCCGCGGGCTCTACGTTAACAGCCCTCTCTTCGTAGACGCATGGAGTAATTCCGACCGGTGTGAAAATCCGGTGAGGATTTTCCAGCGCCGGAGATCGAAATTAAACGCCCGAAAATTGTCGTGCACACGCGTTTTTACTTGACCTCACGTTAACGCTAAAAACAGCCCGTGAATATTAGATCATCCATTAAAGAATATCCATTTTTAAATTCTCAAATTATTCAGAGCGTTATTGTTTATATTGTCAAATATTTTATATAAAACTTCATTTATCTTGATGTATTAGATTTTTGTGGATTTTAGAATCCGTAGATTCGCTTAGAATGAAGAGAATTAATTTATCAAATCAATTATAGCGAATTCGGCAGACCGCACTAGTGTGTACTCAATGCGAACTTTTTCAGTGTCACGTATTCGGCTTGTGCGCACTGTCTCATTGTCAGTGGGTTAAGATTATCGTATTCGCAGTAAATGAAAACTAATTTAGTGTAGTGCTGAATTTATATTCGGACCAACCGAATGAACTGAACGAGTTCAACAAATGTTGCACTGACGATTCTGACAGTGCAATCTGGCATAGCACTAAAGTAGTTCTGCACTCTCACTATGTCCGGGCAGCGGAGTAATTGTGTATGTGTGCCGAATTCGTCATTAGATTTAATTGCAACATATGTAAGTATAACATATGTATTTTTACATATATTATATACATATATACCGTTTAAGTATCT